CACACAAAGAATGAGAAAGTGTGGTGTGGCCATATTAAAAAAGGGAAGCATTATTGGAAATAAAGAAGGGCTGTTTATGATGATAAAAGGTTTTTATTTAAGTTTATTTATTTTAAGAGAGAGAGTACAAGCAGGGGAAGGGCGGAGAGAGGGGGAGAGAGAATCCCAGGCAGGTTCTGCGCCCTGTCAGCGTAGAACCCCACATGGGGCTCGAACCCATGAACCGTGAGATTATGACCTGAGCTGAAGTCTAGAGTCAGACGGTTCCTGACCGAGCCACCCAAATGCCCCAGGATATTTTTAATACACCTCTCTTGCTAACTGATAGAACAAGACGAGAGCAGAAATAGAAAACCCACATACGAGAGGATACTTAATAAAATTAGCAAACTCAAAAGATAGGAGATGGCCTCATTAGCCAGTCCTGAGTTGAAGGAGATAGCACTAGATTTACACCTACATTGATAGAAAAGCTTAGAGGCTGTAATGAAACTTGATGCCAGTGCATATGAAATGTAGACGAAGGAGCCATACTCTTAGAAAAATACAATTTACCAGACATACCAGGAAATACAAAATTTGAATAGTCCTCTTAAAAAAATACAACTTTCAAGTAATTATTAGCTTTTAAACTACCCACAAAGGAAATTCCAAGTCAAGATGGTTTCATCAGTGAGTCCATCACAAAAGGATGATTATGACCAAATTGTGTTCCAGGAAATGCATAGTCGGTTTAACATTCAAAAATCAATCTGTATATTTTACCACATTAACAGTGGATCAGAAAACTCATGTCATTTCAATGGATGCAGAAGAAGCATTTAATAAAATTTAGCATCCATTTGTGAGGGAAAGGTTTTAGCAAACTATGATTAGAAAGGAACTTGATTCATTTGTTAATGGTCATCAAGGAAAAACAAAACCTACATCAACCGCAGTACTAGAGATACCTTGAAAGCTTACTTTCTGAGATTGGGAATAAGACAGGAAAGTAAGTACCTGTGTCCCTCTCTGAGCCCTGCCGGGTTCGAGGGACAGTGGCAAGAAGAATGAGGTGGGGGGAAGAATAAGGAATGGGAAGGCAAAACTACCGTTCAAACGTCCAGAAGTGCTAGTGGCTATGGCAGCCTGTTACACGATGCCGATCAATTCATCATGGCCAGAAATTCTGTCGAGCAGCACTGTTGAAGAGAGACGGTGTGCAGTTTCAACCACAATGCCAACATAGGTTTATTTGTTTTGTGATTTTGGGGAGCTAATTCTAAACCATATACGGACGTGCAGAGGACTACGAATAACCCAAACCATTGCTGAGGAAGTACAGAATTCTCTACTGGATATTGAAACTTGTAAAGCTGGTTCTGGCACAAGGTTGAAGGAAATCTAGGTAGGTCTGTATCCAGTAGAATAGCGTAGAGAATCCCAAACCGGATCCAAGCATGCACGGGCATGTGATTTATGATACACATGCCTTGCAGAGCAGCAGGGAAGGTTTGTCTTTGTAATAATTGGTCCTGAGTCAGTTGAATGTCCATTATGGGGGGGGGGGGGATGCAGCCGAATTCCTGTGGTACACATGCACAGAAATCAAATCCAAGAGCACTGCCCATCTAGATGTGAATGGTGAAAACTCACCTGCTAGAAGATAACAGCATTTCTTGATGACTTGGATATAAGGGAACATTTCTTAAACGGACACCAAAAATACGAATTCTAAAGCAAAAGTTGATAAAATTAGTAGATTGTACTCATCAAAAAAACACCCTTAAGAGAGTGACCATGCAGACCACTTATAACCGACAAAGGGCTCGTACCTAATATGTGTTAAAAATAGGATGTTTTAAATTTTAGAAATGTATCAGGAATAGTCTTTCTTGATAGAAAAATGGAAAAGCAACCTAAGTGGATCTTTAAGCGGCCTTAAATAGATGAAAAGCTGCTCGTAGCCACCAGGAAATTTGTACACGCTCATGTGTTGGTGGAGAGCCACCACATACCTCCAGCAGTGGCTGAGATTAGGAAGACTGAGGGTTCCAGGTGTCAGTGAAGGAACAGAGCAGAAGGGACTTTGATAAACTTCCAGGGGAGAAACGGAGCAATTAAAAACACTACAGAAATTAGAAACTACAGCAATTAGAAGAGCAACAGAACAGCATCTCTGTATGTGCCAAAAGACCCTTAACAAGACTCGTCCTAATGACGCGGTTCATAATAGCTCTGAACTGGAAATAATCCAAGTGTCGGTCGGAAGTAGGACAGATGGGTTACCACGAAGTAACGATCGTGACCAGACTGCAGCTTATAGGCACAACATGAAGTGAACAAACCCACTTATATAAAGTTATAACTAATCTGGGTTTGGAGGTCAAGATAGCAACTTTGGGGTAGAGAGAATTGGGTATTGATTGAGAGGGGTCAGAGAGTGATGTGGGGGGTTTCTGGGATGATGCCCATGTTTCTCCCCTCTCCCCTTTAACAAGTTCAATTGATAATTATTTAAGCTCTATACTAATGATTTTTATCCTTTTTTTGCTATATTACAATAAGTGAGTTTAAATCTAGTATATAATGACACTGGTAGTAGAAGCAGAAGCTAGTATTTTGTAAAGTACCAAGATCCATTATTTGTGCTTTCTTGTGTCTTATTTTTTGAAAACTTCATAATAAACCTAAGGGAATAGGGTTAGTGTAATAATATCTCTGTTTCATAGATAGGGAAGCTAAGACCTAGAGTGGTTAAGTAACTTGCCTTTCAGTGCCTTAGTGTTTTTACTGTTTATAAGAGCTATTTATATATCAAAGAACTTAATCCTATTTATATATATTTAAATTTATTTATATTCCTTCCCAGTTTGTTTGGTTTTTGTATTTTTGTCATGTAGATGTAAAGCCTCCTTTTCCCCCCATTATTTGACATTTAGGTTTCCGTGTTTTTTTGTTTTTTTTTTTTAAATGGTTGCGGACAATACCAGGATAAACATTCTTCCGTGTCTTTGTGCACGTCATCGATTATATCCTTAGGCTAAATTCCCAGTTTTGTTTTGTTTTTTTAGCTGAACAGAGTTGTTCCATGTATCTGAATGGACTGTATTTTTTTAGTATGAGTAATGAAATGTTTAGAAAATCACCCCATCTATCATGATAGTGGCATTGTCCTTTCACTTATTCAGCAACTGTTTATTGATCATGCCCTGTGGGTCAGTTAAGGACCTCAGGCTGTAACGGAGGGGACAGAAGCTAAGGTCTAAGAGCCGTGCCAAGGCAGGTTATGTTCCAGTTTCAGTAATGGGGAGAGGACTCAAGGTTTGCTGCTTCGAAGAGTCACTCTAGCATTTTACTGAAGGGATCCAGAGCTGCAAATGGGCAGAATAAAGACAAAAAAGAACTCGTGGGGATCTGTTGTAGTCCTCTGAGTGAGACAGGGGTTCATGGAGATGAAGAGAGGGGCTGTATTTGAATGTTCTACGGGAGGTGGAGGCAGCCAGATTGGGCAGCTGTTTGCCCGAGGCTGGTCTCTGGGGGCAGAGAACTCTGACTGCAGGAGCTCTGGTTCCGGGTGACTGGGTGGAAGGTGGTGCCGTGTGCTCTGGTGGAGCAGAGAAGTGGCACTTGTGTTTGGAGGGCGCCGAGCTTTGCTCTCTCCGGTTTGGGGAGTCTAGGCGACCGTCAAGGAAGAGGCTGTTCGCCCCGCCAAACGGGTGCTGTTCCCACCAGCCATTACCGCACGGCACAGGGCAGCATCGTGGCCGGTGTGGGCCGTTCATGAGCCGCCAGAGCTGTTCCGAGTATTTTACACACCGTCCCCACAGCCTTTGCACGTTTGCTGAAATGAGGTGTGCAAGGCCACGCGGTCGAGGAGCGTGGAGCTCAGGTTCCAAAGTGCAGCAGCCTGGCCGAGCGTCCGGGCTCTTTACCGTGGGGCCTGCGCTGTTGTAGGTCTCAAAAACAGTACTTGAGGAAAAGTACCCAGGTGCTGAACGACATGGCCTGTCGTCTGGTTGGAGTTAGCTGGTTTGTTCAGGAAGGCCAGCACGGGAATTCTGGGCCCTCGGTTTGTTGGCCAGGGTTCGGCGCTTCACCTTTTGGCTTTCGTCTGAGATTACAAGTGTGGTTAAATTTAAGAAGAAACGTCTTCTTTTCAAGGAAGAATGAACTTTTATTCGCCAGCTACCCAATGCTTGTATGGACCAAGTGTTCATTTTCCATTTCTACCGTGAAAATCATGACCGTGGTCCCAGCCTTACCTGTGGGATGATTATTGGCCGTTCGTACTCGCGGGGAGCTTGCGGGGTCTGGATCCTCTCGGGACTGTGTCGGAAGAGTTGGAGGAACCCAGCATCCTGTGAATTTGTATCTGTGTATTTGTATGCTCGGGTGTTAATGACCCGTGTCGGTGGTGAGCACCTTGAGGACAGATCTTTCACTTGGTTTGGGGGATGCTGGAATATCGATCGCGTACACCCGGTGGGTGCGAAGCGGCATCCTAGGGGCGTTCCTTTGAATTGGTTTCTGTGTCTACAGCCACAGCACCCTGAACACGCCCGATCTCGTCTGAGTTAGTTTCTCTGGAGCTGATCCACTGGAGAGGCCCTTCTCAGAAAATCAAAGATTACTTACTTAACTCAAAGGTCTCGATGGAAACCTCCTATGTGAAAATAAGTATTAAGGGTTGTTACTCCTAGTGGTTTATGAAAAGACAAGATTTTCTCTTACCACAGATTTATAGACACCTTAGTCACTGTATTTTATCCCATTGAATCTAGAACTGTTGTGTTGAGTATAGTTATTTGTTTGCAGTGTGTGGTTTTAAAAACTTTTACTATTACTGAAACTCCCAAATCCTAAGGTCCATGTGGAGAGGACTGTCATCTAGGTCAAAGGATGGGGACACTGGGATATAAATACATCCTTTCAACCTCACTTACTGTCTTCTCGTAGGAGGAGAGACTTCAGCATGCAAACCTTCATCTGTTCGGCTCGCACCGTCATTTTCATTCCATGCTGCTGGCCTTCAGATGGCTGGACAGATGCCCCATTCACATCAGTACAGTGACCGTCGCCAGCCAAACATAAGTGACCAACAGGTTTCTGCCTTATCTTATTCTGACCAGATTCAGCAACCTCTCACTAACCAGGTAAGTGCGTGATGTTTCAGAAGTGATTTGCTGGGAGTGTGGTAGAATGGTAAATAGGCAAAAACGGCTTGACGGTTTTCACTTTTTCGTGCCATACGCGAGATTCTGGATTGACGAGATAGGATGTCAGGAAGTTTGCATTCAAGTTTGTCAGCTTTTTCTTTTTTCTCTCTCTTCCACTCGATTAAAAAACACTTATAAACCAACCATAGCCACATTCTCTCCTTCTGTAATAGGGAGGGGAAAAGTTCATTTTAAAGAATGTCTGTTAAAATAAAGAAACTGAGAGCTTATTTTTATAGAAAGGTGGTTAAGGAGAAGAATATAAGTTAGAGGAAAACAGGTCAGATTCCAAACTTAAGCAGAGCGGATTTTATGCCATTATAAACAACTTCAGCGCGCAGGCATTGCAATAAATATGAAACTCCTTAAAATAGAGAAGAGAAAAATGTAATGCAAATTAACCGCACTGGTCATTTTAATATTCAGACTAGAGATTTCAGCAGTTGTTTATAAAATGGACAGTATAACAGAATAAACGCAGAAATCTCTTGGTATGCACACATATACGTGTGTGTATGTACGTGTGTGTTTTGCATATTTCCTGAATTAACTGCATTCACTACATTGATTTTTGATTTGGGGAGAATTTTTGTAATGACTATAGTTGTGGTAAAGTTTCTTTCCCCACTTAGATGGAGGGTGTGATGACCACTGAAAAAGGCCCTTAGGAATTTGGGTTGCCCCTGTTTTTTAGGCCTTTTAATATATCAAGTGATGATCAGAACCTTGGGAAATTTCAATATATTTCTTACACTGGATTATTTATTTCTAATTCCATAGTATGTGGTTTTAATGAGCACCTGGCTCCAGTTAAGTAACATCATGATGAGGGGACACCCTTGTATGTGTTATAAGAAGAATTTTGTCAACAGTTGAGCTGGCTTTACATTCATAAAATATATATAGCATGTGAATAACATTCATAGTTAAGACGAATTATGGCAAGACTTAAGAATTTGTTTTACGCAGTAAGTTGAGAAGTTGCGTGTTTGAGAATTGGAGCGTGTGGTCCGAGTGTTCAAACTTGGCGAGTGTGTACCAGAAGACAGCTCTGTGGTACATCCAAAAAATAGTAAGAGCACAACGATTCGTTTGCATTGTGCAAGCTGACCCTTGAACAACATGGGCTTGAATTGCGCAGACCCACTTAGGTGTGGATCTTTTTGATACGTGCAGCCCGGTACCGTGAATGTATTTTCTCTTCCTTAGGATTTTCTTAATAGCGGTTTCCATTCTCTAGCTGACTTTGTTCATAGTAAGAATAGAGGGCATAATATGCAAAATATGTGTTAATTGTTTATTGGCAGAGCTTCTGGCTGACAGTAGGCTAATCAGTGACTAAATTTTTGGAGAGTCAAAAGTTATGTGTGGATTTTCAACTGCACAGGGAGCGTGGCTAGTGTTCCTGACTCCCACGTTGTTCAGGAATCACCTGTACTCTTAAGAAACAGAGTATGTTTGCATTCATTTTCTCACATGTTCAAAAGCAGCCTGTCAGGCAGGGTGCCTGTTTTTATTGTTTTCCAGCCAAAGGGCCTGAGCTCCCACCTGTGACTTCTCCAGGTGTTGACGCCGTAGACTTGGGGGTGCAGCCCAGGTTCTTTCTTCTTAGACACGGTGCCCTTTCTGTTGTATGACACCTGGCATCTATGGAGGGCTAGAAAAAATTCTAGTCCTTTAGTTGTAGTAGGTAATTGTAGTAGGTAATTCGGTCCGCACAGCACCTGTTTTGAGATACAACTGACATCTTATTTGTGGGTTATTTTAAAGTCAGAAATAATTCACTTAATATTTCTGTTTTTTAGTTACAAAATGTTTTTAAAGGATTCATATGATGTAAAAAGACTGTCTTTTTAAATTTTTATTTATTTATTTTTTTTAATTTATTCTGAGAGAGAGAATAGGAGAAGCAGTGAGAGAGAATCCCAAGCAGGCTCTGCTGTCAGTGTCACTGTCAGTGCAGAGCCCAGTGTGGGGCTCGAACTCCCGAACCGTGAGATCACGGCCTGAGCCGAAACCAAGAGTCGGATGCTTAAGGCTGAGCCCCGCCGGGCGACCCAAAAAGGCTGTCTTTTAAATAACAGTATTCAGCCAGGTATTTCTACCATAGTCCAGAAATTTCTGAACCTAATCAGGCAGATGAGAAGAGATTTTTCTTATAACTGAAGCGTAAAACACTGAAACTGTGGGCTGGTGTAGCATATGGTCTGCAAGTACTAAGACAGGGGCCCGGGGTCTTGACTCACGTAGTTGCAGGAGGTGGCCCTTCTGTCTGCTCCTTGAATGTATGATGGGGACCTTAGACTACACTGCTCTAAACTTACCTCTGGCTGTAAACTTGGATAATTTTATTATTTGATTTCTGTTGTTTCTTGTTAACATCCTAGTTTGTTTGTTTTTAAGGTTTATTATATAAGTAAGTTGAAATGAACTAATAACTTTAACGTTTTATTTCTGGTTATGCCAGTGGTGTGTTTTATACAGGTTTTTAAACAGTTTTGTCCAAAAGGTAAATTCAGGAAGCAAGAGAAACACAGTAAAAGCAATTGTAGAAAAGTATGCTTGGTGTTGGGATTGCTGAGTCCCTTTGTGCTGTTAGAATTTTCACATACCTTGCACAGTCCTCAGACTAGACTAAGGTATGCCCTACCTGTGCTTTTCAGCTGTTTCAGTAGCTCTCAAAACAGCAAGAAAGGCAGAATGTGGGTTTCTAGTTCTTCATTCTATATGAAACTATGAGGTAAATATAAATAAAATGGATGGAATAGGTATTATTAAGCTAGAAGACAATTTTTAAGTAACGTCCTGGAGCTTACGCTGTGTAATCTTTTCAGGAAAAAAACAGTTTGAGCTCTCAGAACTGATTTAAGCAGGAGATGCACACTATGCTTTCCTGAGCTTTGTGATCTGTGTCTTTGCCCAGAGGGGTCCAGGAGCTATGAGCCCTGGGGGTGTGGGTTTCTCCGGCTCCAGGGAAGAAGGGAGCTCGCTCCGGTCCTCTCTGTGCTCCTGGCTTTTGTGACAAGAAGCAGGAAAGGGAGAAAAAATGTCAAACGCTCAGGATTCAGCTTTGAGTCTAGCATAGATGCGTAACCGAGTGTTTGGAAAAGTCACTTCCTAATTTTGGGTTTGTGCTCTAGCAAGCAGCACGGTATCAGAACACAGAAGATTTGGCTGCCGAGCCTGAAATCGCCGTGAAAGTTAGTGGAGGGAGTGTTACTTGGTTTGTTCTTTCCACATAGTTTGAGCACCTGCTTGTACAAGGTGCCATTTGAAGCAATGAAATGCAGTCTGGTCTGAAGGCTGATTGTTTGTGGGCAGAATACCTGTGGTTTACATATACAGATGCTCCCAAAGTACTAACTTCTTTTGCAAGAAGTACATAAGAAAAGCACGGTATTTAGAATTAGCTGGGCAGTTTGGCCTCATAGACAGAGTTGGCCAACTGTGGAAGGGGTTGGGGATATTTTATAAAATGCAAGCACCTAGCGCACACTCCTGTCGAGTGTGGGAAAACCATCACTTCTTGTCGAATTTCTTGTATGTCCTGTACATTTGAAATTGTTGTCTTGATTGTGTGATTTTGGTGTTTTTGAGTGAGCATAATTGCTCCTGGAAAGATGGAGTCACTGGTTCGGTTTGTCCCATGTTTGAAACACCAGTGGAATTGTATATGGACAAGTTAAAAATTTAAAGAACCCAGTCACAGTTTTGTGTATAACTAATTTTAATAAATCCACATGCTTATTTTATTGATATTTATTAAGCACAACTCCGTGATGTTGCCCTACAAATAGCCTAAAAGCGACTCGGCCAAGAGGGTAGAATTGAGGCCTTCCCCTGACCAGGAAGGAGCTCCTGGCCCAGTGTTGTGTGGTTCAGGGCCCAGGACTTCGCAGGGTCTCAGTTCCCATCTCACAGGTGCCCTTTACGAGCTGCGGAACTCCGGCCGAGCATTTCACATCCTAGACTCCGGTCTCCCAGTTGCAAGCTGGTGACAAGAACACTGCTCGTTCTCAGGAGATCGTTGAGAGGATTCCATGAGCGATGCAGAAATCTGTGTATGCTTCTGACAGGGCGTGGAGCAAGTACTTGCTTCTCTTATTTTACTGTCAACTACTTAAGTCATTCATTTGTTTCTAACCGCAGCTACGCCTCCCGCCAAACTTTTCTTAGAGTAGTAACGAAATACCTCACTGGTTGAGGTTCTGTAAGATCTCATGGTGGGGTTTAGCCGCATTCCAGTGCTCCAAGGATGGTCTTGCCGAGTTAATTCCCTGCATGAGAAAACGTTGCCAGGGTCTTAAAAAATAAAGAAGGAAGTATGTTAAGGCAAACCTTTTTCATTATCTTAACTGCTTATAGCATTCATTCACATAAAAATAATTGACATGCTTATTACCAGTATTGTTACTCGATTAAATTACATCTCCAAGGAACAGTAGAAGAATAAAATATCCTGTGCATCTCACTGTACCTGCTCTTTATATTTAGCAAGATAAAATAACATATATTTGAAAAATTAAGTACTTTGGATTTTCTTATTACTTGCTGCCATCTTTGCAGACAAATAGTTCTAACCACCAAAGAGTTTTACCCCCTTAAACTTTATTTCGAACTTTAAGGAGGGAAAGATCATGAGGACAGAGAATGAATTAATAACCTACTACAGTAATTCAGTGAAATTACTCTCTGGATAATAGCTTTTTAGAGTTTGAGTATAGAGGCAGAGGAAACCAATGTTAATGTTAGTTTTAGAGAAAATGCACCTGGAAAACTGCCACGATCGCTCCCATCTTGTCTTACCAAGGGGATGGTGACTCTTAAGTCCACCATCACCTTACAGACCAACCCTCTGTTTTATTGGTGTGGGTTGACGTGGTTAATTATCCCAAGACCCCAGACATTTCGGTGAGGCCTTGGTATGATGCATTTGCTGTCTCTCAGCCCCTCACCTTGACCTGAGTGTCCTTGGAGAGGGGCTGTGCCAGGGGATCTGGCTCAGTCATTAGATTTTGTGGCATTGCTGTCTGCAAGAGCTAGACAGGAATCCGCGAATGGCTGGTGATGGTGACTGTAGGTACCTTGATGCACGTCATCGGTTTTGAGGATCTGTTGATGGCAAGAAGCCCTGTTGGGACCACAGTCCAGGATCATGGCACACTAGTGGAGGCATTCCTGGTGTATGTACGGAGGATGCTCCTGCTCTGGTCCCCCTCCCATCTAGCAGGAAGCTCACAGCCGAACTCTGACTACCTGTTACAGGATAAAAGGGACACCGTTTAGGATTCGGGTGGGGAGGTTGTTAATAGAATGTGGTTGGAATTAGTTTTTAAAAGAGTTTCACAAGCTTTAAAGTGTTCTCTGGAACTTACTTGGGGTCCCTTCCTAGTGTAATTGTAAGTAGAGATTTCGGTATTGTGGATTCATTGGTTTATTCAGCAGGTATTTATGAAACATATCGAATGTGCCCACCGCTGTTTTAGGCAAAGGGAATAATACACCACTGAACAAAGGAATCCCTGACTTTATGGAGTTTTTCTTGTAATGGGAGGAGAAGGAGAAAAAACTAGAACCAGTAAATGCGTAAATATAGTATGTCAGGTGGTGCTAAGTGCTAAGGCGGGGAGGGAATGCGGACAGTAAGCTGGGGCGTGTTACCCGGGAGAGCATGTTGTGTTAAAGAAACAAACGCAGGTTTCCGCCTTGCTTACAGGGCAGGTGTTTGTCAGAAGGCAGGGTCGAGGGTGTGGGGGGCTGCACGCCTTAGTGCCGGGCTCCAGTCTTGCCCCGTGGCCGCCTTGCTTTGTGGTGCCAGCGGGTCCCGACACCATGTCCTAGGAAGCTGAAAGTTGGGTTTGTCTTTGCCTTTGCCTTTTGTCAACCAGATCGGGCTTTAGGAATAATTCGGGAGAACTTTTTCCTTGTATGATGGAGAAGCCCTCTTGGGCAGTGGCGTGTGTGTCTCCTGGACTCATGGGTGTGTCTGTGATCCCACTTTAATTTGGGGAACGGGATCGAAAGCCACAGCTGGCACATTATCTTCTAATTTCACTTCTTTGTTCCAGTGGTCTTCATTGGAATCCAGGCGAAAGAGATAACTGAGAGAGAATGCATGATCTTCTAATGTAGATGTCTTTTTTTTTTTTTAATACCTGTACACAGGTTACAGAAGAGAGGGGATTCATACCAGTACAGTATAGTTAAAGTGCTAGTCTTTTCTGTCTATTTAAGGTGATGCCTGATATTGTCATGTTACAGAGGCGGATGCCCCAAACCTTCCGTGATCCAGCAACTGCTCCCCTGAGAAAACTTTCTGTTGACTTGATCAAAACATATAAGCATATTAATGAGGTAAGATGACTGATTTCTTTTAATAGCATATCTTGCAATAGAGCAGGGAAGAAAAGTTACTTTGTGGCCTTTTTAAATATACTAAACTTTATTCCCAGTGATTATAATATTGATGATTATTGTGTAGACCAGAGTGTTAATGATTTATAGGTAATGTAATTGTGTAAAAGAAAAAAACTATATTAGCAAGGACTGCAAAAAATTAAGATAATTGTAGGATGACTTCCCTTTTTTCCAAGTTGTATTTAATATATGCTGAGATCATGTTTCTGTAATAACTCTTCTCTAAAGCAAGAAAGGAGAAAAGGAGGGAATAATGACACTGTAAAATTATGCATATGTTAGAGTTTTGTGTAAATTATTATATGTCTTTCTGTTTTCGCCATGGATGTCAGGAAACTCAGAGTGAGATCTAATACCCAGTTAACAGGCATTTGGCCTACTTTATTTGATAGGTGTCTATTTCTGTGGCTTTAAATTGTCTTTTAAATTTTTAGGTGTGTGGCTTTATTGTAAATATTTGAAAGCGTTTTTGGTGGATGTAAATAGAGTAAAAAACATAGCACTTGGAATTACTCATATCACCTTGGCCCTTTGGCTCCAAACATTCTTTTTCTGGTGTCTTAGACCTTTGGCTTGATTGCCATCTGCTTCTAGCCGCAGCTCTAGCTCCGTAATTAATTATGAAATGAGCTTTTCTGGAGAAGAGTGGATGTGTCTATGCTTCCTTTCCTCTTCATGTGAGCTCTGTCTCCTTTCATACTAAAGGCTTGCCCCGTTCCAGCTCTGGAGCCATTTAACTAAAAGCATGTTCTTATGCATGTGTACAGTTTATATCAGTTTGATGCTGTTTAATGCCAGTATAGTTGTATTACTGTGGCAGTGTGGCAAGGTAAGATTAGTATGCACTCAATGATGAACATTTCTGCGTTGGATTTTGTACACAATGTGTTAGAAAAGATGTGCCAAACTAGTTTTGATTATCTGGAAAATTGTCAGCAGTTTATTAATGTCAGTTTGTTAATATCTGGGAGATGATTAACAAAGCTGCTGTTAACCTGTGGTGAAATCAGAGTTTCCCAGTAGCTTTGCTGAAGCAGGTTTTTAACCATTTTGGCACCTTGTAAACTAGAATTTTTCTGGTGTTATTCTGTGCAGTGTAATTTATAATTTCCTCAGTTAGTTACCAATTACTTGAACTATTGCCTAGTCTACCTGTAATTTTTTAACTGGCTTTAGAAACAATTTTGTAAGAAAAATAGATAGAAGGAGAAGAGCTCAACTGTGATCAGCCACAGGGTTTACGGCCCTTGGTATGGGGAAGGGGAAGGGGAAGGAGCGGCCGGCTTTCATTAATTGTTACGTTATTATAGGCTTAAAAACCGGAGTGTCTCAGACGGCCTTTTATATTAGGAAAATTTTAGTTCACACCCATCTAAACTTTCATTTTTAAAACCTTTTGCCTTAAGACCCAATATAAAATGGGGATGCAGGAAGTTGATAGGATGAAAAAGCTCTTTATTTGGTTTGGCATGTGTTGATTACATCAGTATCTACACACACACCCCCCTCCCTGCCCCCATCCCTCATATTATACTCGTACAAGCTCTGCCATCTCATTGTATACAAGTTATATCCTAGTTTAAGAAATCAATATAAATCAGACTCTGTTAGTCTTCTTGAATGGGATACTCTGACTAGTCACTTAGCATCTGTGGTTAAGATGTATAAACAATATAATTTAAAGGTGAATTTCACCGTAGACGTTTTTCAATGGTTATATATCAGTGTCATTACGTAATTCAAATAGCAACTATAGAAAATTCTTTATTTCATTTTTTTGTATTTGTTCTAAGGAATAAAAATTCATCAGTTTCTTCCTGATGGCACATTTGTCTCACGTATACTCTTGATCTATATCTCACACACACGCACGTGCACATGGCGCCTCCTCACCCCCAAAGATTTGAATTCTACACTTAACACCGGTACATTCTCATTTCAGGTTTACTATGCAAAAAAGAAGCGAAGACACCAACAGGGCCAGGGAGACGATTCTAGTCATAAGAAGGAGCGGAAGGTTTACAATGATGGTTATGATGATGATAACTATGATTATATTGTAAAAAACGGAGAGAAGTGGATGGATCGTTACGAAATTGACTCCTTGATAGGCAAAGGTTCCTTTGGACAGGTAATTTAATGGAAAATGCTGTATTTCCTAAATTAGAGCTTCCTAGTGAATCATGTCGTTATGCCTTTTCCTCAGTAGTACACTTTCAATGTCTGTAAATAGATGTAAACAGCAGATATGTAAGTATTTGGGGTTATCATGGTCCTTCAAAGGCACTAAAACTGCATCAGCTCTAAAAACTCCATTAGACTTCCCATATTTACTTTCCAGAGCTATCAAGTACTTACCTTACTGATACATGAGTTGATTGGAATCGCTAACAGGTAGTATTGCCCCTTTCATATGGATTGTGTATGGTCTCTGGATGATTCTTCACTATGGATGCAAGAGATAATTACCTTCCTATCTGATACTCCTCTTCAAAAAGAAAAGAGTTCAGTTGGTACAGCAGGTGCCCTGCCACTTTTTTAGAGGCTGGGAAAGCCAGGGGCTGTGTCCTGGTTTTTCTCTCAACTTACCTTCTGTTATCAGGCCTTGAAGTGGGCACATGGTCTTCAGGGTTTCCTCTTCCCGTTCTCACGGTACCAGCACGGCTGATACCGTGACTGTGATGGAAAGGATCATTCAGCAGCTTCTAGCTTCTAGCAGCTTCTAGCAGGAAAAGAGAGGAAGGGGCTCCCCAATAGAACTCGGTGTTTCTCTTTATTCCTGGCCTCGTCTCCACCCACAGCCCTTCCGTCCTCACCTGCCCACCCAGCCTCAGCGTAGGGCGCAAAACCCTAAATATGGCGGTCTCTTGCATCAGTTGTGCTCAGACCGAGAGCCATCGCACCTTCGTCCTTGCACTTTGAGGAAATCTTTTCTCTGGCTGTGGACCTGCCCCGCTAGCTGCTCCCACTTGTCAGTCCTATCTCATTGAGTCCCCAGGCTCTGTTTGGTGTGAGGTGTGATTTACTGCTGATCCCAGTCTCCTTTGCCTCACGCCCTTTGTGTGGTGAGGCCATCACTAACCTGCAGTTCAAACACTTCTTTGGACTTTTCAGTGATGAGGATAGAATGGGTTTCAAAATGACTTTCCTGAACCACCTTTAAAGAAAAATGGTTTTGTTTTGTTTTGGGGCCTTTTAAAACTATGGAACCCGCGTGCTCCTATTTACCCATTCCTGCTCTGAGAGAAGGAAAAATAATGTCTTTTTTTCAGCCTGTGCATGCGTCTGATCACACTTAGGACAAAAAATGTACTGTGGGCCATTAGCAGCCACCCAGAAAAGACCCAGAAAAATCTTCAGCTATTAAACCTGTAAGGAAATACGTACAAGGTTGCTAGGAGGCCTCTGTAATTCCAGTGTGGCTCTTCAAGGCCCTGGTGCCACCTGTGTATAGTATCTGCCCCTTCCCGCTTTCAAATTCCAAGTAGTTGCAGTACTTGTAAAGAACTCAGGGACCTTCTCCTTGATTTGTAACCTCTTTTTCTTTGAGTTAGGGGTTTCTCAGTGTTGGGGGAGTCCCTCTTTATGAAGTATTACTTCTTTTGTCAGAAGCAGCTCCTTCTCTCTCAGGGTCTCCTAAGGAAAGGCGTGTCTGAGGCCCAGCTTTTAGTAAGGCCGCACGCACCCTAGATCCAGGGATTGCTGGCTCCACCTTGAAAATCACACCAGCTACTTGGGCATCTGCCTTCAGTAGGACAGTTTTCTAACCCCTGTGTTGTTCACCATGGAAATTGTGCCATACAGCCGACTCTCTAAACTTCGTTTTCCATTTTGGTTTTTTGGTTTTCCCTAAATATGTAGTCTTTGAGTTCAGAGTGATGTTTTTCTCCTCCCCTTCACTTTGATTTTCTCATACTTTAATTCCTAAGAGCAAGTGAGCATAGTTAAATGATTGAAAATTGAGACCCGTTGACCTCAAACTCCATCTCATCAGGTTAGACTGATGCCTGCCTTAGGCTCACGCGTGTTCAGGTTCAGGACCCGTCACTCACCAGGTAATGTCTTCCATACTGACTTGATCAGATTTTCTCTGAACTCTGCCAGATCCTTATCAAGTAAGGTGCTCCTTCATTTCTTTAGCCAATGGTTAGGAGTCTTGATTGCACATTGAAATTTCCCAGGGAGCTTTGGCAGGGGGTGGGGGGGGGG